TCTACTAGTGTGTAGCAACAACAAAGTCCACCTCCCTCCCCCCCCCCCCCCCCCCCCCCCACTGCCTTGTGGGTGTGCAGAAGCATTTTGCTTAATTAGTTACAAACAGTTGAAACTGAGAGAAACAAAAATACAAAGACCAGAGTAGCCGACCAGGAGCAGGGATGTATGGGGATCCATCTCTGGTCGGGTTAGCGCTGTCTTAAAGGTTTCGACAAATGTTTGCAAATGTCTCAGCGATGTCTCCGGGTAGTAGAGAGCTGACAAGTCAGTTCCGTGCGGGATAATCCCCATGAACTTTATATGCTTATGTGGGCGGACCCACATTCTTGCAGAAAGTTGGGTCGGGCATAGATTCTCTTGTCATGAAAGTTAATTGCGCTTCCTTCCATTGCACAGATAAACTCAAAATGCTGGACATTACGCGCGATAAGCCCGTGAAGGTGGCCGTCAAAGTGGCCGTGCCTGTGAGAGATCACCCCAAGGTGAGTCCATGTCCATGGCAATGGAGTGGGTGGAGCGCACTCTGATTGCTGATACCAGTGGCACATGCCGTTTATTTTGCAGTTCAATTTCGTGGGCAAGCTGCTGGGACCCAAGGGAAACTCGATGAAGCGCCTCCAGGAGGACACCATGTGCAAGATGGCCGTGCTGGGCCGCGGCTCGATGCGGGACCGGCGAAAGGAGGAGGAGCTGCGCGCCAGCGGCGACAATCGGTATGCCCACCTCTTCGAGGACCTGCACGTGGAAATATCTACGTTCGCCGCCCCGGCCGAGGCTCATGCCCGCATCGCCTATGCCCTGGCGGAAGTGCGTCGGTTTCTGGTTCCGGTAAGTACTTTCTCTGGCCTTTCTCCTGTGTTTGTCTGTAATGCCCCATTAATGATTTAAGTTTCCCCAGTCACCCCTGGGGAGGGAACATCTTAAAGTTTTGTCGAGCACGAGGACTTTATGTTATGGCAAAGATGCTTTGCCCAGAAAGCAGGATGCAGAATGCCGGAGGAGCAGCACTGCTCCAAGGTTGCTCTCGTTATCGACTACAGCTTCCGTGTTCTCGTGTTCTTTTCCTGCCATGCAGCGAGTTGCCGTCCCACTCTCACTTTGTCTCGCTGTCTCTGTGCTCTGCGCTCTCCTTCTCTTACTGACTAAATTGCATTGTGCTGTAATTACATTTGCCACCCCACCAGCCCACTTCCTGCCCCGCTTGGTGCCGGCTGCCTGGACCACTCCCCTGCCTAGTGGCACGCGTTGCACAAACTTGGCTGGCATCTTGCACCGTCCATTGTGTGGCTCTCGACACGCCATCGCCATCGCCCTCACCCTCCCCCCCTCGCCACCAGCTCCACTTGAGACACCAATGTTCACCGTTTACTATCTATATCCAGCAGGCCACGTTCAGGGCATCATCCTCACTTGCCTGCCGAGGGAGCGCATATTATATTTATATCTTCTTTAAGATGCACATCGGTAGGTGGACATGCTGCAATTTAAAATGGACCCACGGACATTTATCCAAGAAGTTTTGCAGTTGCACAGGCATTTGCCCAGATGCATCTATAGAACCTACAGCATAATTTATCAGAGAATTCCTAATGAGCAGTACACAAGTGGTTGTACGAGGCATCATTAATTTCTATTTCGTATCTTAACTGGGCCTGAGTAATAAAATTTAAAAGGGAATTTTAAATGTAAATATGTACATACAAGTGTCACCACGTTGGATCATCATTTTCAGCAATTCTCCACCCTCCTACTGCGAGGAGTACTCCATAATAATGCACATCCCAAGGATGTGCATATCCACTGAGATAGCAGAGATCTATGGGACACTTTGCCCTGAAAGTGTCCTGTCATTGTTTATAATTGTGTGTGTCTGTTCGCTAATCTCATGCTTTGATCTATGCACATATGCTTGCTCCCTCAAAATTCAATTCTCACCTCGCACATGACTAAGCTCTGACATTGCCTTGAGTCAAGGCTCAAGCATCGTGCCAGCATCTGCATGGGAATGTGAATCTGAGTGTGGAGTGTCTTGTGGTTGAGGGTAATCTAATATATTGACATCCTGGGCAACCTTTGACTGGCAGCTGTCGGCACCATAAAAAACACTCTCCTGCCGTCCCTTCCCCTGAGTTATTCCGATCTGATTACACACGATGAAAATTTGCATAGAAATTATTTCATATCTTCAAAAAGAGGGGCAAAAAGAGAAACAAAGCCAAAGAGAAACTGTTTCAATTTAGATAAATTGCTGGCATATCCTTCGAGGTGTGTGTGTGTGTGACAGAGGGGGGACAGGACTGTGGACTGTGGACTGTGGAGTGTCTAGAAAAATCTCATCTGCGACATATTTAAGCCTCAGTCACCTGGCTGGAAATTGTTTATGGCATCTGCAATCGCGATTTATGTGCGCCGAGAGTGGGGCATTTGGAGTCGGAGACCCATAAAATGTTGCCGTGTGTGACAGTTCTTTGGGGAGTGGCTTGGGGGAGTGTGATACAGTGTAGAGACTCGTTGCATGGTGCAACCGATTCGGTGCTAAATCTAGAGATACTCATAAGCAAGTGAACTGGTTAATGGAATGTGTAGCCATCCACCCGGCACGACTCCCACCTCTGGGTGTGTATCCCAAAGGTGGCCAGCACCAGCACCTGCAGCTGCAGCTGCCACCCATTTAATTGCGTTAAGCACTCCCAGATATGTGCGTCTGCCTCGACGCGCACGCATCCTGCGGGCAGGCCTGAAGGTGGGGCTGTGTCCGGGTGGCACTCGGAAAACTTTTAATTGACATCCAATAAAATTCGCATTTATTACGAGAGACAGTGCCAGACTACCAAAGAGATTGCCACAGAGAGAGAGAGAGAGAGAGAGAGAGAGAAAAGAGAGAATTAAATTTAATTGCTCGACTGAGGTGTGCTCCATGGCTAATCCCAGTGCCACTTTCATTTGGAAAAACTTCTTTGCCCCGCAGGACTACCACGATGACATTCGCCAGGAGCAGATGTGGGAGATGCAAGCGCTCACGTCCACGCCAGGACTGGCCACACAGCTGGACGACTCCCAGAGCCCCACCACCAGCAACAGTACGGGCACGGGCACGGGCACGGGCACGAATCCCAATCCGAGCGTCAGCACTTGCCGGGGGCTGGCCGGTGGCCTGGCGGACATGGACACATCGAACGATGACAAATCGGACAATGACATCAGTGGCATGGACTGCCTCTCGCCCGATAAGCTCGACTGCTCCCCGGCCTGCGGCAGCATCAGCATCACGACCACCACCGAGCATGCACACAGCCATGCCCACGCCCACGCCCATCCACAGCATCAGCAGCAGCAGCAGCAGCAGCAGCAGCAGCACCACCATCATCATCACCACCACGGCCATCCTCACAGCCACGCCCACGCCCACGCCCACACCCACGCCCATGCTCAACCGTCGCACTTCCACCAGCTCCTGCAGCAGGCCCACGGCGGAGCCAGTGCAGCGGCAGCGGCAGCCTGCGGGGAGCATCTGTCCGGGCAGGCCACCCCGGCAGCGGCAGCGGCACGTAAGTCCGGACTGCAGCAACAATTGCTCCTGGTATTGGGATGAATAATAGGAAATTATTGTTTCCGATTGGGGACCCAGCCTGGGTCCTCTGCTCCTCATCCCATGCCAATTGCTTCCTTTCAGTAATCTTCAAGCTGTCTGCCTGTCACTCACGCCACCCCACACCACACCCTCCCCCTATCTGCATTCATCCACAGTGCACACGACAGCCATGGCAGTGGCGCTGCAGCACCAGCTGACAGCCGCCGGAATCGGAGGACTCCTGAAGCCGGCGGCCGGGGTGGGGGCAACCATGGCCGGTCTGCCGACCACCCAGGCCAGCGCCGCGGCCCTCCAGCTGCCCAGCTGTGGCGACGGGGAGGCAGCCGCATCCACACTGACGCTGCTTGAGCCGCCCGGTTCCGCCCTGCTCCATCCCGCACTGCGCAACGTCAAGACCATCAACATAGGTGAGTGGCCAGCTCCAGCGTTCCGTTACCCGCAAGGCTAATCCCGAATCGGCTCTTGGCAGGTGGAGGCTTGGGACGTAAGCGCCCGTTGCTGGGCGTTCCCCGCACTGGCATGAATCCCACCAAGCGCACGGTGATGAGTCTGCTGGCCAGGGCCAAGAACTCGCAGGCATTGCACTCGGTGCGACAGCCGGTGGTGACAGCATCCAGCTATGCAGAGTGAGTGCACCATCCCCTCCTCCCTCCTCCCTCCTCCCGCCCCCCTGCCAGCCTTCCACGACCCTTTCCTGTGTGTTCCCCCTATCGAATGTAATCCCCCGCTTGCAGGCCCTTGCAGATGCTGGCATCGCCCTTCATCATTCCGCACCACCAGGCCGTGGACCAGCACCAGCCCCTCCTGGCGCTGTCCAAGGAGAGTCTCGCCCAAGGCGTCTAACCCATTGACCTCCTACAGCTGCGGCTGCCCACGGCTGACCACGGTACCAGTCCATCCCGACCGCCTTCGCTGTGCCCCGCCTCCTTCTTTTAAAGAGATCTTGAGGATGGATATGGATGCCCCCCTCCGCCAACCCTGCTAGCCATTAATGTACGTATACCCCCACGTACACGAATGACCCGCACCCGGGTCCGGGTTATGACCGATCTTTAGGGACTAACTGTGAACTTATACGAACGAGATGTGTCGCGTCTACAGTGGACACTCGTGCTCGTGCCACACGATTTTATTTTTTACTGATAATAAACGGAGCGAATATTTTCAATGCGATGTTTTATTTCCACAGAAGAAAACAAAAACCAAAAAACCAAAAAACCAAAAAACTAAAAAAACAAAATCCAAACAACAAAAATGTTAAATTTAATGGAATAAAGTTTAAAACAAATTGAAACCTAAAGTTAGTGTCAAATTAAAAAGAGAGCAACTTCAATAGAAATAAAATGTAAACGCAATTACTTTAAACAAATTACTTTAACTAAATATATACACACAAAAATACGAATGCGATTGCGAATTCGAGTACCGAACACACAAGTACCATACATAAATACTTATATACAATACAAGCAAACAAACACACACATGCATGCATGTACAAAAATATTTATATATATATATATATATGTGCAACTATATGTATGTGTGTATGTGCTTAAATATATACATAAACTAAGATTAAACCGAACAAAACTACTAAATTAATGAGATAATAATTTTAAAGAGTTTTAACAGCAAAACGAAAACGAAAACGAAAACGAAGACAAAGTCAAAGATAGAAAAGAAAAACCGTAAGCTTTCAGATGGAGTAGACAAACAGAGAGACAGAGCCCCGATCAGAGAGATCCCACCGCCTTCAGCTTACTTTGCCTGATTGATTGATGATTGATTGATTGAATAATGGTAGTGTAGACCCATTCAGCCCCAGAGCTTTTGTGCAGATTAAATCCAGATGCTAGATACAAATGATAGATAGTTCGGTTTCAGATCAAGAACGGAATGTTTCAGCACATCGAAAGCACATCACATACCTAGAGATTTATATTTTGTTCAGATAGTACATACATATATAGAACCAAATACATGAAGATGGTAAACAAAACGGTTAGATCTTTGGTCTGGATTCTCCCATTACCCGCACCTGGCTCCGATGCTCCGGAATAGAGTCTTTGATAATGAATTGATAGTCACACTCCATAAGGGAATTTGATCGGAATCGTTTCTATGTTGCACTTTAAGAGATATTACCCTGTTTCCCGGAACTCCACAGCTAGAGACTTACACTTGGACGAGAGCAAGGAGGGGCACAACACACAGTACATACATAGCGATAACCGATATACAATAATAGCAAACAAACAAGCATTAATCGATAAATGTTCACAAAAGTTTAATCAAAAGGAAGCGAAGCGAAGCGCAATGAAATGAATATTTACAAAGCGTAAAATAAACGTTAAACAACAAAATACAGTAAATTATTGATGTTGAATGAAAGAAAGTAAATCCGTGTAAGGTCCTCTACTCTCATATCCTATCCACATGCCATTACGTGTAGATGTCTATTATGCAACTTGAAATAATAATAAATAATTAAACAAAGTCTTAAACGGCACAGGCAAACCACTCAATGTGAGTGGAGTTGCAGCCAATTCCAACAACACCAACAACCAACCACCACACAGCTTCGAGCTATTCACAAATAAATTGCAATATTTTAAAAATAAAAACCCAAAAGAGTTTTAATTGAAGAACCAGTACGTTCATTCTGTTGAAGAATATTTAATTATCATTTAACGAAACATTCAAAGTGCCAACACACATTCTAGTTGCTTGTTTTTTTGCTCCTAAATAAAGTCATCCTAGACGCTGCTCCATTTAGTAAAAAGTTTCGAGTTCCAGCCAGCTGCCAGGGAACCGCCTGAGCAGGTATCGCCGGGCAGTTTCGAGGAATGCCAGCAACGTAGCCAAAGGCCAGATGTAACACCAGAAGAAAACCAATCTGAAGAAAAGAGAGAGAGAGAGAGAGAGAGAGACAATGAGGCAGCTGGAGGCTGGAGGAGGGAAGACAAACGCACTCTACGCCCCCCATGAGGCGCAGGCAGCGGGGAAAATCCACGTGGGGCAGCAGCACGCAAAGGAAAATCAAATAGACAATGGACAGATTCGCGTAAACGTTGGAAAATCCGTGGCTTAGCAGGTTGGCACGTCCGGTCCGGGTCAACATTAAATTGGTGCACTGCATCGCAGCGAGGGTCATCAGGCAAAGTGTAGACACTTGACAGTCCAGCCGCTGTCGCAACTCTGGACTCTGCGGGAAATATCGTGAATGATGGAAGCCTGCAGGGGAACTGCATTCCTACCCATTCCTGGCCATACGAATCAGTTATGACTGCGACGCTTTCATCATACCACTTGAAGTTGAGGCCCACCAAAGTTCTGGGCTGGAAGCCGTTGCGGGCCATGAACACGAAGTACATGATAAAGACGGCCGCCGCCTCGATGACACCCACCAGGATGCAGGACACAAAGAGCAAGCTAAACGCGGGATATAAAAGGATACAATGAAACGCTAACAAGTAGCAATACTTGCCGACGATTCAGCAGGAAGTCATCGAAGATCTTCGGCTTCTGCTTCATCAGCTTCTCCTCGGCGCCCTCGTAGAGCAGGCTCAGACCAGGCAGCTGTGTAGGAGAGAGTCTGTTGAATCATAGGACTCGCATTCTCAGAGGATTCTGCTCACCAAGTTCACGAAGACCGCTAAGATAAACACTTGCAGGACGAAAATGCGGATGGGAATCTGGAGCAGAAAAAACGCCAAGTGCACAAGCAACAGAGCCGTGTTGGTGGCCAGGCAGTAGGCAATTGACTTCTTTGTGTTCTCGAACATCAGGCGGCTCACCGCGACGGCAGCCATCAGCTTAGAGAAGCTTCTCTCCTGCAGCTGAATGTCGGCGCTGGCCTCGCTCGTCAGCGTACAGGCATCCGGGGCCACAGCCACATGGGCGCGACGCAGGGCGGGTGTGTCGAGCACGGAGAATCCCATGACAGTGACGATGGCACCCAGCCGCTGGCAGGCCTCAACTATCATAATGTGCTGCTCCACGCTCACCCTCGCGAACACCAAGTCGGCGTGGGCGAGCAGCAGCTGCTCCACCTTCCACCGCTGGTGATGCATTTCCTGTTCCACGAACTCATCCATGCTGACGACAGCAGCACTGACCTGGTGGCGCTTCGTCGACGAGTCGTCGGTCTCCCTGGGCGGTGCAATGATGCCCACGCTCAAGGCCAGAGCACGGGCAAAGATGGCCTTGTGGTGGGTAACCAGCACCAGCTTAATGCCAGCGGAGCGGCACTTGGACACGGCATTGGCGGTGTTGGGCCGGGGCGGATCGTAAGCGGCAATCAGGCCAAGGAATCTCAGCGCAAAGGTATTCACGGCCAGGAAATCCCTGTACCTGCCTGGAGTCCTGTCCCGGCCAATGTTCACTTGGGAAAAGCGTCGCCGCTCCACCTCAGAGAGGATCTCCTTGTAGGCGAAGGCGCGAACATGCCGTCCCGCTTCCATCAGTCGGTTGGCCAGATCCCCAATGGTTTGCTTGAGCGGCTCGTCCAGCAGGAGCTCCTCGTCACCCACCGAGTAGGTTGTGCAGTGCCGGAGTACCACATCAGCGTAGCCCTTCATCAGAAGGATGTGGCGCGGGCGGTCGTTCTCGTTTAGAATCTTGTGCACCGTCACCTGTACGCGGTCGATGCTGCTGTAGCTCATGTTGGCCACCTTCTCATGGTCGCTCCGCAGCTCGTTGATGTTGGGAATGAAGGGGAGACTGAACTTGAGCAGCGCTCTGTCATAGTCGCTCCCATAAATGGTCTTCTTCTCTCTGGGCACGCGGATCGAGCCCGGACAGAATATTGCATCGTTGCACAGCACCGAGGATCGTATGAGCTCTATGAAGCGCGGCCCCAACTCGTCTTTGTTCAGGCTCTCCACGCGCAGCAGGTCCGCATCCACGAATATCTCCGACACCCGCATCTGCTGCATGGTCATTGTGCCGCTCATGTCCGTGCAGATCACTGTGGACAGCCCCAAAGTGCTGACAGCCTCCAGGTTCCGCACATGGCACTGCTTCTCCAGCAGAATCCTCTTCGTCCGCACCAATCCCAAGTAGAGGAGGCAGGGCAAGAAGATTGGGATCAGGGCAATCGCCAGGCTAGTGTTCACTTGGGATGTGATAACCATGGACTGCACCGATACGGTGCACAGCAACACGAAGAACAGATAAATCCCCACCAAGACAGCGTAGTAGGATACCTATTTGGTGAGAATGAGCAGAGAGACTTATCGAAAGGTTATGAACCTTCAACCAACCTGCTTAAGATGCTTTCCCACGCGGCTAGGCGGACGTGGTTCCATGCTGAGGCGGGCCAGGACCCCAACCTCTGAGGCATCACCACAGGCAATGGCCACGCCCAGACCGCAGCCCTGCGTAGCGTAACTGCAGCCGAAGCCGACATTTCCAGATTTCCACTTGGACACAGTTCGGTAGCTCATTTCTCACTTAATCTATTTTATACTATATTCACAATACAGTTGAAGGGGAGTCGCCTGTCAAGCTACTGAGACTACTGCTTCGGAGTGGCTTGGGCAGCCCTTCCCTCATTTGGTGATTGATATCCACAGGACGGGAGAGCCCTGTGAGCGCCACATTGTTCAGCTCCAGGCCGATGGAGCTGAAGAAGCGCAAATCGGCTGCCAGTCGCTGTCCGTACGAGATCACCAGAACATCCCCTTGAACCACGTTCTCGGAGAGGATGACTTGCTTCTCGCCGTCCCGTATTACCGTGCAGTACATCGGCATCAGCTCCTCGAATGCCCTGACCACCGAAGATTCGTCGTTCCGCTGCATAAGGATGAACACTGCCGAAATCAGCAAAATGAGAAGTAGAAAGACTCCCGCTAGTAGGTACTCTGGGTCGACGTTCGTATTCGGTTGCTGCTTGCACTCAACGTGGTGCAGGATGAAGCAGCTCGTCGCAACCAGCAGGATGATGATCGCCCAGCAGCAGAAACAGTTGTCAAGGAGTTTCCACAACGGCGACTTCTGCTGGGCAGTCAAAGAAAATTTGTTTTTTCCGTTTCGGGACAGACGCTGCTCCGCCACTTCTTCGCTTAGTCCCTGCAGGGGATGAGTACGGATGAGTTTTGGTTTATTCCACTCAGATGCTGTTGCCTCTCACCAGGTAGGGGTCCGTTTCCAGTTTGGAGCAGAGCTCCTCGAAGGGCCAGACATGCAGAAGCGCAGCAAAGTACTCCAGCCACCGTTCGTTATCGGT